CAGCAACAAGGCATATGGACAGTAAGGAATGCCTCTTCCAAATACACCAAGGAAATTTAATGCGTCTTTGTGGGCCGAGCGCTGGAAGGGTCGGGAAGGCGCCTGGGGGTTGTATTTTTGGGTGGCACTTGCTAGAGAGAGATGCTTTGGTCATCAAATCACCTGGGTTCCCAAAACACCGATTCTCCTTCGAAGGGGATGTTTGAAAGGAAGTGTAACACCACGCTGCCAAGTTGCATCTATGCCCGCGTTTATTTATACTGAACAGCTTTAAAAATACAGAATAAAATAGCTTTATCTACTATTATTCACAACATCTGGTCCAAATATTACATTTTTAAATATTTGTTTAATGAAGCAATGTTAGAAAAAAATATGACATTAAAAAAACCTCCATAAAAGAATTACACATCTCAGAACAACAACAACAAAAAAAAAAACCTCGAAACAAAAAACCTCTTGCTGTTTAACGAAAAAGTTTTACAGCCAAAGTCAGTCACAAAAAGTCATGAAAAAAAAATTTATCCCCACTGCCTAAGAACAGTCAATAGTTTGTTACGCCAAAGGTTGTTATAAACGGACAAAGTACAATAATTTGGACTGGCAGCAAGATGATTCACCTGGAAAGATGTAGTAAATGCCAGATAGTACACACGGCAATTCTAAATATATCTCTCATATCAATATGTACGGATGACAATGCACAGTCACAGTCAAATTAGAACTAGACAGGAATATTTTGGATGGCTCTGAACACGGATCCTCAATACTTAGAAGCAGCCCAGCACTAAGCTGTACAGACTCATGGGCAGAAGCGAAACACTGGCGAACTCGTGGCCTCCTCAATACCGCAGTGCCCTCTCGCAGCTACAGGGACGCGAGAGCAGAGAGTACCTGCCATCCCACGGCCAAAAAGGCCGTCAGCCTTACGGAATGCTAAGGAACATGCACCAAGTGGGACATTTTCTGCAAAAATGAGTGACCCACCACTCCCCCCTCCCCTTTAAAAAAAAAAACCAAAATGAAACAAAAGTCGCTTTTGGTTTAAGAAGGCCACGTAAAAGAAACACCGTAGGTTGTGCTGGTCTGTCACACACGCATTTTCTAGATCGATACACAAATTACGTCAAGCACAGGTTGGTTTAGATTGCAGCAAGCATCCAATGGCTCGCTCAAACCATTAGAAGCCGGCTATTTTAAACCACGTGTGCCGGGAGTGCTGTTTGTACCACAAGTGATGCGACTTCCAACGCTTTTTATTAAGGATGCAACGCTACAGATGACCGGCTGCACTCACGGACGCTCCCTGTGGTATAAATAGTACTGAGGATTTCAGTCTGCAAGCGCCAATTCTGCATCGGGAGTACCAAGATCTCAGTAGGGAGATGAACGATAAAGAAACCCTTTAGTTTTTGGTAGGAACATAAACATGGGTAAATAAAGTATACACAACTACTATAGATTCGTCAATGAAGAAATTCTACCATCACATGACATTGTCATGACAATCATACCACTCCCTCCCAGGAAAACTGCCATCATTATCCTGAGTGGAAATGTTATTTTTAATATATGGAAATAAAATACTGCAATATTCATGTACAAACCAAGTTGCCATATTTAAAGTCAGTACTAAAAGGCATAAAGCAAATTGTGGGTTTAAAGTTTGAACTTTCCGAGTGAGGTACCTGATTTAAGTTCCTCCACCAACACACTCTAATATGACAACATTAATCAGCCATAGCTGTTAGCTATGAAACCTAAATTTCTATAGGTATAATTTGCAAGTATTTGCTTTAGAAAACGTGTTTCAACATGTTAGCAAGAATTCTTAATTTAACCTAAAAAAAATACAATAGAATATCAATTACAAAAGGCCCAAGTTATTTTGTTTTGCATACATCGATGCCATCTTTGATATGACAAAATGATATTTCTACCATGAATATTTGCCTTTCCGTCTTAAAAGTTTGGTTGAAACATTGCCTCTTACCTCATCTCTCAGGTGTCGTCTTCCCTATGTGGTTTTGTTTAGTTTAGCTGTTTGAAAGGCAGGCAGTAACACATATAGGAAAAACACAGTATTGCATTTACAGTCAGATTTCTACACCCAGCCACCCTTACGCATCAAAGCCTGGACGTAACCAGCAAACAGGAAATATTTAAATGCTTTCCAAAAACTGCACGTTGATCCTCTGCAACACATCTGCCAGCAGCTGCTGCGCAGCAGCTCAGCCTGCGCACCGTGCTCCCCCCGGCCAGGGCATTTCACAACAGCTACTAAAACCCTAATACAGAAAAGCGGACAAGGGAGAAGGATTTAGGGTCCACGATCGCCTGCCGCCACTGCACAAAGCCGGGGGCAATTCAGAGTTCTTTCCCTCACAAAGAAAAGCAATGCATCTTCGACTGGCAGCTCTGGGACGGTTTCAGGCGCATCGGGAAGAGAAAGGGGAGCTTCTCTTCCCAAGGCACCCACGCGTCAGCTCCGTCCTTCGCTCACCTCCCAGCGCTGGGGAGACGCACGCTTTAATAGCAATACCCCGGGTGCAGCGGCTGCACGCGCTGGACGTTCAAGGTACTGCCAATGACTCCAGCGTAACCCCTCGAGAGACATTACAGCTGCTTCAGTGGTGTCCTTTGCAAAACCGAGGCTCATCTTTAACCATTCATGTTCGTAATAAGATGGAGAGAGTTGTTACATATACAGATCTGGTTACAAAAATGACTGCTAACTACAACTACTTATTTTAGTGTTACCAAGGTAAGTGGCTAGAAAAGCAAACACGCCGGCTAAACGCTACTGCACTTCTCTCAGCCACTCAACAGAATCGGCACGGTAGGACCCAAAGTCACCAAAAAAATTAAATCCAACAGTTAAACAGAGTAATTGGACTTCACCTATTTGGATAGTCTTTCCTACGCTGCAAGAAAGGAGTGGTGTTCTGCTCTGGGGAGAAGAAAAAAACATCCAGCAAAAATGGATTTGCTGCCCTGTCATTTGACGGAAGCGTCCTGGCAATTCCCAAGTGAAGGCAATACAGAACATGCACAGCTTTACTTCAGCCAAAGGTGAGAGAAGAGAAATGCTATTTCTCATCGCCTCGTCTCATGACTGCGTAAGCACTGAAGTTATCAAGAGAATATTTGGGGGGAGAAGTTAGAAAAGCCTCGGGACACAGGTGTCACTGCCACGCTCCATGCCCAGCAGCATCACTGGACTTGACATTTCTGTATTTCTGAGGTGGCACTGTTTTAAATAAAAAAACTCTTGCCTCCCTTTCGCAACATTTACAAGACAACCACCTTTGGCATTTTACATCATTACAACCACCGTACATAGGTGGCTTTTTTTTTTTTTCCTTTTATATATATATATTTAACTCCCCCATGTCTCCCACACATCTTTGGTTGCACATAAAGTTGGGAAATTTGGAAGCTTCGTGCCACTGAGTAGAGGTCTCCGCACTCAAACTATCTGCAAGTGGATGTGGAAATATAACACCTCACTACCTGAAGAGGAAAAATTTAAGAATTATAAAAATGACAAAAATGACTTTGTTTCACAGGCAAACTAACCTTGTCTACTACACAATAACTCTTCCGACCAGCTTTCGAGATAGTCCAATTGACACCTAGACTGCAAACTACTGAAAGTTCCCTGAAGCAGGAACAAACACATGCTCTGTTATGGAAAAAGCGGTATAAAATAGTTTCTGGAAACAGCTATGGCATGCTGAGAACGATATCAATGGAATCATTCCGACTCTACACTATTCAGTACTGATCCGTTAAGTTCTTTCCTTGCCCTCCCCACCCCAACCCTTCCATGCTTCAATAACCAATAACAAATTCACCTGGAAGCAGACTCAGAGAAAACAGAGTTCCTGCGCTCCTGTCCAGTAGTCAAACTTTGATAAATATATTACTGAATTACAGGATCTACTGTTATGTTTTTTCCAGGAATACAAAACGCAAGCACCGTAGAGCATACTGGCCTTGAAATTACATTACACTACATTTCCCTGATGATTTCCACAGCTTAAAAATGCTTTTGGGGCCACACTGAAGTCTAAAACTAACTTGCAATAGTAAGAACACTAAACATGAATAAAACTTTTAATTATGAATGCATGATGAGCATGAACACCCACATAACATCAGAGCTGAGACTATTCCAGGAAAAAAAAAAAAATCTGAATGGTGCCCTGATTGGACCCAATACCCGTTAAACCATCCAGTGGATGAGGACATCAAATGTAGTGTCTCTGTCGTTTGAGATGACCTCTGTAGCAGTAATGACCTTTTGCAGGAGCCCCACAAAGAGAGAAGAAAAAGAGGCAATACGACGTAAGCTGCTCGGCGGCAGCATCAGCTCTTGATATCTGACCAAGAAAATTCTGCACAGTTCCAAACCAGTGAATGCCGGCAGCGTTTTGACCGTGTGGCTTTCCCTGCAGGGAAAGCTGCATGTATACAGATGTTAATTGCTTAGAACTGCTTGACAAATCAGCATTTTTGTTCAGGAAATCTCTTGCTGGATACAGGCATTGCACTGTAAAAACTGTTACCAGGTCCTGTCTGGAAGTTAAAACTTTCCCATCTCTGTAAAACTCAAGCTACATGTGTCCCTTTAAAGAAAACCTGCACCTGGACACTATAATTAGGTGGTTTAATGCCAGGCAGAAAAAGCAAACGTTGAAAAATGTGAACTGACATGAAATGCGTGGTTCCTTCTACAGCACTAAGCCATCAGAAGTCGGTCATAGTTTTTGTCGGCGAAGTTATTACAGAAACTTTCTGTCTTAACACTGCACATCTGACTGATGCATCGGTAATTCAAAAAAATACTCTCATGATTTGCCAGTATCAACTAAGTCTGGTTTCCAGGGGACTGAGAATACGGAATGTGCAATCAGTGAGCAGAGAACAATACATATGGGATTTGGCATGACTAGAAGTAAATTTTTTTCCTTTTTTTCCCCGCCCCTCCTTCTCACAGGATTCAAATTTTCTGGCGTAACTAACATTGCCAGCAATGAATGCGCCAAAAATGCCAGCATCAATGACTTAAATAAAATAACCATAAAAAGTAACATTTTTCAATAGCACCTACATACTTCTGGAACCTAAGCCCCGTTTAAAATAAACAGACTTAGGTGCGCAGGTATCTATAGCTTTTGAAAACCAAAGAGAGGAGCATTTGCGAATTTGACCCAGAGACACTAGATCTGGCTACCACCACCCACAACAGGAAAGCTTTTTTTTTTTTTTAAATCCGTCTCAGCTCTGGCTCCAGAATTTAAATGCAGATATACAAAACATATATTTTAATGCTTCTTAATCAGCAAGAAACTGCAAATACATCTTTTACTACAACTAGATAATATAATTTCAACTAAGGCTATACTGTAGCTTCTGAGTCTTCATCTGAACTCCTGCAGTTACTGCTTTTCCTGAAGCCTTTCCACGTGTAACCCACAAAGGTAGGGCTGATGGGCAGGAAGCTGAAACACCTGTATTTTTTAATAAAGTTCATGCCAAAAGGCAAATCATATGTTTCCATGCCATCCAGTGACTTGCTTCCTTTACCAACCCCTTTCTTCCATTTCCGTATTCCCCTTTCTTCAGGGCTTCCTAGAAGTCAATAGAACGGAAAAAGGAAAAAAAATTAATATCCTTATGTGCATATACATATACATAGTAGAGGTTAAGAGAAGAAAGAAAACGCCAAGTCTCAGACACTATGTTCAGCAAAGCACTAGAAAGATCTTCTAGATTCCTCAAAGAGGCAGGAAGAAGGGGAAAAAAAATGTTTATTGGAACTGGCTATTATCTGTTTATTTTGTAACTGGAAGTCGAGGCAAATTTTTGCTCTTAAATGAGTGGAAGCAGTTTTGAATCTTAAAATATTTCTACTCTGCCTCCTGAAGACTACCATTCTGGTTTGATTTTTATCAGCTATTTTATACGTTTAATAGGATGGAGACCTTAACCTGAAAAAGATTCAAAGTGTTCTCAAGAAAACTGAGGCACGCAGGTGTTAAGCAGTCTGCTCTAGGCATTAAAGAAGTCAACAACAAAAGCAGTGATCTCTTCCTCATCTCCTGCCTCCATGAAACGCTGTGCTACCTTCATTCAGAAAGGCAGTTATTATTTCAGATAAAATGACAAGTTCACATGCTGACCTGGAATGGTATTATCCAAAATAAACGCAACGCAGCCACCGACAAACATGGCTGTAGTGAGAAGAACGTTTAATACTTGATCAATGCCCGCTATTCCTAGAAGAACAGGAAAAAAAATATTTAGAATTTGAATTTTTATCGTACACATCCTACTGATTTGCACACAGGTCAACTGGGAAAACTCGCTACTGAGTTCACTGAGGAATTTGCTCAAATAGGACTCTTAAAACCACGTGGGAACAGATGCAGAAGAGCCTTCTGTACACCATGGGGACCCCTTCTCTCCCAAAACGTAACTCCATGAACGTTCAGTTGCTTATAAAAATGTAATGAAATGCCATTTTAGTTTCTATTGAAGACACAACTGCTTAATTTAAACTAAATAGAAAACTACAAAATGGAGAAGGAGAAATGTCCATAATGTAAAATCATGTGGACGGAAGTAATTCCTTTTATAAACATTTACTTTTTAAAAGGGCAAGACTTAATAGCATCAATTCACGGAAGAACACTGTGTTAATGTATCATCACCTAACTCTGCTTGAATGATCTACTTTTCTGAACAACTTAGTAGGTTAGATATGCTCTTAAATCTGGCTCTGAAGTGACAGCTACAAAAAGTTAGTTAATCTTTCCTTTTTTTAAAAAAAAAAAAAAATCCAAGTTAAGTATTCCTGTAGAGACTCTTCCTTTGATGACATACACTGCCATGACCACCACTGAGAAGGTAGTGTTAAAATAGAAAACCTTCTTCATCAAGTCACCAAAACGATATAATTTGGCTAACAGTCTGAAACTGAGTTCATTAAAATTCAGATTCAGAACACATGTCTGCAATGACAAAAAATTTCAAAACCCGAAACAAATTCCTAGCTTCCAAGCTCTACCTTGGCATTTCTCCTTGTTCTTTTAACATCATTTACAACTCATTCACCCTTTTAGTCCTTTTTCCAGTCCAACTGGCAATCGCCTCCTTCCATTGCTCTACAATCGTACCCTGAGAAAGCACGGCAACTTCAGATGTATCCCACTGAAACATTCAATTCAGGTCTCAGCATGTCAATTAATTCTCCTCTGAACACACCTGCCTTCTTATTTATAGCTTTTATTGTCTCCATAATACTTTGGTTTTTTCTCTTGTTTACCCTTTACATTACTTTGTACTTCTATGTACTTTGCATATGAGTATAAGGTAAAAGCATGCTTCATGTAAATGAGCAGAAACACATACCTGTGACCAGTGGATTTTGTTTGAGATAGCTTGGAAGGACAAGTCCAAAGAAAATGGAAAATCCAAGTACAAACAGGTTACGAGAAGAATTTAAATCTATGAACTGGAGGTTGGACAGACCCACAGCCGTAATCATCCCTAAATGAAAATAAAACAAGTCTCAGCTTTTATACAGCTTTTTCCTTCAAAAAAAAAAAAAAAAGAAAAAAGACAGCAACATACATATAAACACAGCACTAGAGTAAAAAGATATAGCCACGCAGGACACAAAGAGGAGCAAAAAACCATACGTTACCAAAGAGAGTGCAGAAGAGGGCACCAAGCACGGGGTCAGGCAGCGATGCAAAGAGAGCACTGAACTTGCCAACCATCCCAAGCAAGAGCATGAAGGCTGCCCCGTACTGAATAACCCTGCGGCTTCCAACCTGCGGGAGAACAAACAAAAAAGGACGGACGCTGGGAAAAGTCCACACTTAGTCCAACTTCATGCCTTGCATTTTATTTTATTATTCTCTTTCGCATTTAAAACTTCCTTTCAAGCTTCCATGTGTATTTTTTTGTGGTGTTAAAACACAGGCTGCAGAGCCTTTACAAATGTCTTGGAGGGCTCCGCTGTAACATGGCTGCACTCCAATTCCAACATGACTTTGTTTGATTTTGGTTTTGTTAACATAAGTCATCTTTAAAACCATCTGTAACTGCTATAGCCACAATAACCATAAAATGTGGCACAGTCCCATCTACAATAAAGAAAACAAACAGACCATAACTAGGAGAGGTGACAAATGGATCAATTGTAATGCAGCAGCAGCAAAAAAATTTAAATCCATGTGTTGCTGCCCTTTTACACAAGAATATATGTATTAATTACCTACCATGCAGTTCACTTGAAGGAGATGCCGGCTTTCTAGACAGAGATTATAAAATGATTTTATAACCTCCCTCTTTGAGATCAGAACTGAATTCACTTCATATGCAAATCATGGCTGTGCTAACACTATGAAACCAAGTGCCTGCATTTCCTTCCCATTTTTATTTTAAGCATTCAAACTTCAGGGCAGTATTTCTCTGGCACTATGTTGTAGTGGTAGGGGCAGTTCATAAACCTGAACGTTCAATATTTTAATAGTGTTATACTTGCATAAGAAGTGCACCAGGTACAAAAAACCCCGTTACGCTGGTAAGGTGGTTTCTAGGTGTCCTGTTACAGAGTATTAAGCTTCAAAAAGAAGTAGATGTTAATTTATTAATCGTGTGTGACTGAGGTAAATGAGTGAAATGAGAAAAAAATACAGTAGGCATGTTTAGGGTAAAAGTACTTCTTTCCCCCATATTCTTTACTGCTTAATTTTTAGCTGAGATGTGTTCACCTACAAACAGAAGCTAGACCAGTAAATTCGGGTGTTCACTAGAATAAGAACAGAAGTTAGCCTGCACCTTTCTCTGTTTTTTAGAAACATATTAATTTCCTTAGGACCACCAATATCTTGCTCTAAAATTATCTTCCTGCATGAAATAGGCAGATTCTTTAAAAAATCCGCACGATAGCAACATTTATTTATGCAAATGCTCAATCACTACAAGGCAAACAAATTAAGCTCCTTTTGAAAGCTACTGAAAGCATCCTGGTCAGCATTTAGCTCAAACTACATATTTATTCCCAGGCACTCGTACACACACTTTATGTGATTATTTTGGAGTGCATAATATGGCACCTAGTACCCTACTGGAGTATCCATTTCATCACCAACATTACGGCATAAGCTACCAATACTTTTGCCCCAACTGATCAGATTTAACTGATTCTCCTCTCATGAAATAAAACTCCCTCAGACTAGCTCAAAGACTTTGCAGTATTTACATCTATTTGGAGCCTCAAATTTAAATTCTAAGCATGATCATATACTGATTTCAAGGGAGGTAAATGCCTTTTCAAATGTTGCACTGGTGTAACGGGATCACCAGGACTATGTAGTCTTTAGTGAGCACTAAAGATTTCCTCTCCCAAATAAGCAGCAGAGTATCTACATGCCAAAAAACTATTTTGATATAAATTGAAGTGGAAAAACTATTAGGTTTTTAGAAATGAGTATGCAGACAGGAAAAGACGACAAAGCACTGGAGCACAGCCATCCAGCTGTGCCATTCTGGACAAGGCACATTCACGCTTCCATCGTGTGCTCTGAACAGACCTAACTGTAGTTAACTCTGTTCTCTGTAACAGCTGCCAGCTTAACATTCTTTTTTCGCTGTTCCAAAGCAAAATGTACACTCATTTCTGTGGACTGTTAATAAAAAAGTGCTGTTAATTCATATCGACTCCTATGAAGTAGCAACAGAAAGGAAGCAGAACAGAATAAACTTTTCTTTAAGGATTTTTCTAACCAAAATTTATTCTAGGAAATTTCCATCAGCAACTGAAGGGAAGACTTACACAGACAGCAGATGGTGCTATTAGTATTTATATTCCACCCTAAAACCGAACAGAATCATCCTTTGTGCAGAAAAAAAAATGGCTGAAGATAAATTCATCATCTATATTGAATTCAGTCAGAGGGATGAGTTATTGTAAGTGGAGAGCATACATTTTCTACCTTGTATGCATGAAGGAGATTTACAGCCTCCAAGTGAAATATGCAACAAGATGTACGTATTTACAACATAAATTACTGTTACCAATTTTGGTGATATTCCTTAACAAGGTTAAATTAACAATATCAAGCAAATCTATCTGCAGTCCAAGGTCTCCCAGTTCAGCAAGGCATTCAAGCACACATCCAGTTCTGCATGTGAACAAAGAAATTCCTCAAGTGCTTGTATATTTTGCTGAGTAACACCCCAAAAAATATGTAATCCCCTAAGCACACTCAGTGCCTAAAAAACTATCATGATGGAAACAAATATTTAGGGTGCATTTAACTTCGAAGTTACCTTGACTGCAGCTCCTGTTCTAGCTGTGTCTGCATGACGTCCTAGTACAGACGCAGATAAGACCCAAGGACCTCAAGCTGCATTTCATTGTGTGTTCAAGCAAGGCATTAAAAATAGTCAGTTCTCTAGCGATGCTTTCAGAGCCAAGACATCCAAAAGAGTACCAATTTCTACACTTTACAGTGTTTATACCTCAACTCAAAACACCCTAGAGCCCTGGCATGCCTTTTTGGTTTTCAAAGGGATAGCTGCTTTAGCATCATCTGCTTTATGTAGGTTTTCTAACTGCCCTTCGCTCCAAATAAAAAGAACATTTTTGGGGTCCTTATCTAGAATGCATTTCCATTAGACAATGGCTGGTACAGACAAGTTATGTAAATTCAGAATGCCATGTAAAGTTTGTCTGCACAAAGTACTAAGTATTACGGTTTCTTGGGAGAGGAACATGCTGTGAAACGTGAAAATGGTGTAAGTCATCCACCAGAGGAGATAAAATATTCAAGTCACTGAGTAATCAAGGTAAAGCACATACCTTTGTGATGCCCAAGACACCGATGTTAGGGCTGGAAGAAGTGGATCCATTCCCTGTCCCAAATACTCCATCCAGAACACAGGAGAGACCCTCAATAAAAATCCCTCTGTAAATCACAGACAGAAAAAAAGAGGCAAACTTGTATTAGTGTAGACTCACTTCAGATGGTGCTTTATGACTGCATGCTACATGGGAGCCTGTTCAGGCATCTGTCCCACATGAATTATAATAATTCATGTTTCAAGCTCCAACACACCTGGAAAACCAGCCCAAGTTCCGTTTTCTACGTCTTAGATACCCACATTCTTAAACTGAGGAAATTACAAAAGAGTTCAAGTTAAACTTAGAGCTGCTCTTTGTGTCTAAAATTGCATTTCAGGTGAATTTGATAATCTACCCCGACTGCAGAACCAATTTAGAGTTCTGTCCCTACGGAACTGTACTATTAACTTCCACAGACTCCAGCAGGAA